CAATAATCGAACTCTTTCGTTTTTGCTGCTGCTTAAACACAGTTCGTTGATTTCTGGGAATTACGATGGTTAATGACATTACAGTTATTCATGGTTTGATTGCCTGTATGCGAATTATATTCCTAATGACGATTCCTTATTTATTGAAAGTGCATTTATTTATCATGTTACTCATTTTTGTACAAGTTTACTGTAAATTAGTTCAACTTTGAATATTCCAGTTTCTGTCAGTCATGAAATTTACTGTTCAACACTGTGTATGCCTTAATACGGTAGAGAATGCAATATTTTAAACTCAGCTGTGACTCCATCGATAAAGCTCTACACATTATTTTTAATAAACTCGGTTCCTCATTTTCTCTGTTCATTGACCATTTGCCTGACAAAATTATTTGATTACTCCTTACAATCGTACGAAACGTCCTGAGGCCCCACAGGTAAAATTTTTAATATAACGGAGTTTTTGGAATCTGAAATGTTGCTTTCATTTACGTTCATTATTTTTGCATGGATTGAAACATCATACTCTAATGGGATAACTTTGTCGTTAAGACGCGTTAGTTTGTCGAAAGAACAGTCAGTTCGAACTCTGCTGATGTAATTCACCGTTCATCTTTCGTAGATAAACAAGTCTCAGTACGTGCTATGATAGCAAGAAAAACACGCTGTCGTGATTGTAAGATACAGCAACGTGGCTAGATGTGGCCTTTAAGGAGAGAATCTTTGTCGGAGATTAACTCCGCACCACAGACTCTGAAGGAACAGTATGATGAATGTTACCCGTCGAGTCTAATTTTGACGTATATCACAGCGATGACAAACTATTTACTTTGAATTCCGCAAGCTCTGCGTTATGGTATAAATGCTTATTTAATCTCTGCTCCAGATTGGCATAATTGTTTCAGTATATCCTACCAGTCTGCTCACATATTCTTAACCAAGTTTGTTTAGCTTCGCATGATTGCTGTTCATTTTAAGCCATACGGTATTCTAGTATAAGGTTTTAAAGACGAACGCTTAGTGTCTTCAGTTAACTATTTTGGGTCTTACAAATAACTATGATGGATACTGCAAAAAGGCTAAAATACGGTCTCTAGCTGGTCGTCATCAGCAGCTGAAATATGGGTACTCTCTTTCTGCGTAATTCAAAGGAAATTTCGTAATGCCTGCAGAAGATAGTTTTCCATTTGATTCGGCGGTTGCTTCTGCTGCCAGGTCTTTGCATTATACTCCATTATTTACAGGGTACCAACAACAAAGTGATAATTGGCTGACAGCTCTGCCCCTCTTAACGCGAATAGCCATTACGTAGCGTCATAAGTCACACGATACGATTATGAAATTAATCATACTTTCGTGCGCAAGCTTCCCTGTACCAGATATACTTTCATTTTTCGAAGGTTTTCATTAGACTGTCCAGCGTTTTGTATAAAACTGAAAGAACAAACCACGACTGTTGAAGTGTCTAGGGTGGTTTTTTACAGTCACGTGTTTCAACTTTTCTGTCTCATCTGGCTTGCGCATAAAATCGTCCATTAGAATGAGGGACTCCATAGTCGGCACTTCGAACAAAACACTCCATTTCTTCAAGGAAGGAGTCATATTCGCCTTCCAAGCTGGGCACATAGACATGTAACAAGGTCAATACTATAGCCTGTTGTAGCTTCAGTTTGAGTATTGCCATTTCCGCTGACAGGTTTCCATTCAGAATAGCTTCTTCCCGCATGGACTCAGAATCCCAGAGCCCTTCTTTGACGAGTCTAACCATGGCGAGTTGGTACCTTGCAGCGACTTCAATCACTTCCTGCACTTTCCCTCTGAATGAGAAGATATTCCGATGTCCAACTGTGGTCTCTGTCCCACGGAATCTTATCTAATTTGCTATAATGCCATCGCGATGTTTATTTCTTTCTTTCAGAACGGATAGCGGCTTCTTTGCGGATTGGTATTTTCATTTTCTTGTAGATCCTCAGCAGCTCGCCTTCCACTATGTCCCCAGCTGCCAGAAGGGTGAAGCAGGTTTTGAGCGCGAACTTTTCGCAATGTTCCTCAGTTCTTATAACGCTTGAGCAGCCTTTGATAACCTGAGCGACGACCGAGCCAGTGTAACGCGTACGAGGCGCAGTTACGTTTTATTGGAGACCTCATCGCGGTCCACAGCCCTCCGCATTTGTCATTCATGCTTGAGACGGCAACGACGGTACCTATGCTTGAGACGGCAACGACGGTACCTATGCTTTTGGACCCTAGGTCTAAACTGCTTTCCGACTTTTGACGAAAGTATATTGAATGTTGTGTGTACATGCAAGATGAAAACGAATTTTTAACATTTCATGTCATCCACAATGATTACTCCTAGGCGATTAAAAGATTGTCTGCAAGGGTGTCCTTTTGACGTTCTGTGTCGGTCCTCAGCGGCTTGCAGGAGTGAATTCCAATAGAAGAATCTGGAAAGCTAGTGATATTACTTCTTGGCTCACTGTTTTATTAACCGTGCCACTCGTTGCAACATATCATGTATCGTAACTTCATCGCAACAGATTGCGGGAGGTTACTGGACGATACCAGCCTACCCTCAGAGGGCCTCGCAGAAACACCTACTGAGAAATATTGGGGCGACACTTGTAGGCATTCAACAGAGTCACTATTTCTAAGTAATACAAAAGAATCAAGAAGATGCAAAGATCCTAACTTTCGGGGTAATGATCTTTGGACAATAACAGTTAGTAACTGCTGTTAACGTTGAAAACGATAAATTTCCTAAAACAGCATAGTATCACTTTTACTTGGTTTCACAAAACAGCAACATGAAAAGTGTTCTAAATCATTCGTCTCAATAGATCGTTTATCTTTGTTTCTCTGTTTCCAAAATCACCGCCTTCAACAAAATGGTTAGCCTTTTTTCTCCAGCCACCACGGGGATTGTTAAGCTTAAATGAAATTTATCAAAAACAACTGTAGTGCATCGAAAAATAATAAGCGCTATTACGTGCGGCGTAACTCATACAGTCACTTTACCTCAAACACGGCAGATGCCGCTGCAAGGAAAAACACAAATTCTTCGACGGCACAAAACATTGACAATTGGCTTAAGCACTGGTAAAATTCTTAACTTCAGCAACGACTGAATCAAACAACTGCTGATATCTCTGCACACCTAGTTATCATAGATTAAAAAGTATTTTGGAACAACGAAAGCGAACACTTTCAGACAATCATAAAAATTAACCCAAGACTACGGGAAAAAACGAAAACTGGCGATCTACAAGAAGCCTTATCACCTGACGAGAACGAATCATATAAACATTGTTGATATGATCGATTGCAACGTCTGGATAAAACGTTTTCGATAGATCCATCGGGACAGAAAACGGAGGGGAGAGAGTATCATGCCATTGTTTCCGACGCTTTCTACTTCAGATATAAATTTAGTTCAACGAATGTCATCTCTGGGAATAAGGAGGGAACAAACATCAGGTCAATGACCAAAAATAGTTATACATGCTGGATAACGAAAGCCGACTGCAACCGCTGGAATGTTATCGGCCAGTCCTTCCGGATGAAATGAAACAAACGTCATTTTCCCTTTAACTCGTATCGTGTTATCTTATTTAATATATCCATACTTCAGATCCCCTGGTAGCTGTAGACGTAGCAGTATGGCAACGGCTGCCGACGACAGAGAACAAGATGACGAGTCAGCAACGGAAAGGCTACCCGTTCTCAAAGGAAAAGGCAAACCGCTCGACGCATTACAGCACGTCAGATATGGTTAGCAGGGAATGATACAGAGAAACGGAGCTCAAAAGCGCATATTGGAACAAACCCACGTTCAGAGGAAAAGAGCAGGAGCTGGACGGCAAGCATACAACGTATTGATTGGACAATTTGACACTCGTCAACGAAACGCAAGGGTTATGGAATTCCGAACCTCTGCGCTTGGAAGTTATTCTACTCAGGTATCAATACGCGTTTATTCCGGTGTTAGTGTTCGGTAAAACCAAACATGGCTGACCCAATTACTGAATAAAATCCTGTGAGTGAAAGAGTGTCAATCTTCCTACGGAAGCAGAAGAGGCTAAAACCTTGACCTTGCTTCAGATAAATGAGGAAGACTACGAGTCCTTTCTAGACAAGGTACAATGTGCTCTGGAAGAAGTGATGACTACGGAGTTCTTCATTCCAAAACGCATGTTGGAGCAGACTGAAAAGCGGAAAGGCGTGACTGGAAAAGAACGGCTCTAGCGATCTCAACGGTAACGACATGAAACTGTTGCAAATATGAGCAAACGCACTCGCAGTGTTTATTATGTATACATCCATCGAACATCGAAGCGGGCATCATTATATCTGATATAGGGAAGTCGATGCACAGAAGTCGATGATCGATTTGATAATAGTATCGTCTGACCTACAATGAATGTTCGCGTTATAA